ACTAATCGCAAAAATAATCTGTGACTAGTCGACTATCAAAATAATCGTTTGTGGCAGCCCTAACCTAAACCAGTGTTAGTGTCATATTAAAAAAACAATAAACACCTGCCAGTCAAACTGGCTATAAGCTAAACTCATTCTTTTCATATAATACTACTTGCTGGCAAACAGCCCCACAAATCAACCGTAGTTATCCCAAAGCAGCTACAAGATTGCAAAATCCATAATGAGGTCTCCACACAGGAAGTGAGTGACATGGTGACCAAAGTCAACGATAATCAGAGAAATTGTAGCTATGACCAATGAGAGGGAACGATGCTGTTTACTGATGTATGAGAGGACGGTAAACGGCAACGAATGAGCGTTTCGTTGGCCGCAAAACATTTCCTGTGTGGGTGCCCCTTAAGGACTTAAGCTAATGAGGGTACACAGTTTCTGGCAGTAGGCTATGCTGTGATTATAACGTCATGACCAATGTTGGTCCGACATTGGAATGATGCAGGTTTTTGTTTTTATTTATTTATTTATTTTTAATGGTATTTAGAATGAAAAACTGACTTGTGTACAAAAATCTAAAAGCAAACCTTTAAATGTCACTTTGAATCATAAGAAATTTAAAAAAGCTATTTAAATGTTTAGCCTCAAATGACAGTGACATCGTTTTACAAATCAACATTAAAGCGAAACCCAAAGACAACAGAACAGATCAGAGGGTGCTTTGGAAGGCTTTTAAAGAAAATAAAGTCTGATTATGTTCAGTCTATAAAAATATGTCAATAAATAATTCAAAAATCAAACGCATCACAACAGCAACTGTGCGAATAAAGAAGAAAATCTCCCGGCTACTTTCAAATGGTGAGCAGAGTAACATGGTAATTAGCTTTAGCTTATTATTGTATACACAAAAAGCTTCGTCTGGATCCATATTATAATATTATGATGTCTACGGATAACATCTACTGTGTGCTCTGAACGTCTTATAGGACAGCAGATATTAGGTACCAAGAGGTACAAAGAGCCAGAGGACAGTGCGGCAACCAGCACTTGATTCAAGGTCGGTGAGAAAAAGCATTTCAGTCACAGCTGAGATCTGAGGAACACATTCGCTCTCAAGTGAAAGTGTTATTTACCTTAAGGTGCTAAAACTGTAGACATGTAATTACTGTGCAGAAAGAAAAAAATTATTTACTAGCACCAGTGATGTTTTGCACGCACGCACGCTTTGACCTACATGGACTACCAGGCTGGTTTCTGAAAAGACAATCTCACTCAATCATCTCGCACAAGCACATGAGCCCAGTGTTTCATGGTTTAAGTCAGATTCAGTCCGGGGTGGGCCCAGTTGGACTGCTGGCGGCCGGCGGTAAGCTCTGAAGGAGCAGGGGACTCAGTTTGGAGAGCAGCCCAGGGCGGGGCAGGGCCTGCAGGGATGGGAGCAAGGTGGAGAGGCTGGGGGGCTGGAGGGAGTACAGACCTGTCATACTGACGGAGGCCGGGAGGGGACAGGAGCCTGCTGCACACACTGAGGAAGATGAGGAGGACGAGGAGGAAGGGGGTGAGAGTGGGGGGCGAGCGGGTGTGTGGCTGTTGCTGGGAGACCGGAGGATGAAGCGGTGGTGATGGGGGGGGCGTCTCTTCTCCTGGGGCTTAGTGTCTACAGAGAGGGAGACACATACACCTGCTCAGAGACGTGCAGGGACCGTAGGGATACACAAAGCGGCTTAAACTACCCTGCATGCACTGAGAACAAAGTCATTACAGGTAACGCAAAGTAAATGCAAAAAAACTCATTAAAGCAAACTGAAATTCTTTTGGTACACAGGGTTTCTGCCAGGGAAGAGAAAAGGAAGACAATCGCTATATGTATGTATCTTTTTTCACACTTCCAGCATGAAGAGAAAGTAAAAAGCATGTAAGCATGTAACCTATATGTAATCTCATATCCCAATATAAGACCTTTATCATCCTGACAATGATATATATCAAAAAATTTTTACATTTTCTGTAAATTCTGTGAATCTCAAGTGTTTTCAGCTTGGCGTCGTGAACCTGGAGTCGAGTGTTTTGACCGAGGCATGAAACTATACGTTTTTAGACATACAGTGGCTTGCAAAAATATTCAGCCCCCTTGAACTTTTCCACATTTTGTCACATTACAGCCACAAACATGAATCAATTTTATTGGAAAGACCAATACAAAGTGGTGTACACGTGAGAAGTGGAACGAAAATCATACATGATTCCAAACATTTTTTACAAATAAATAACTGAAAAGTGGGCCGCATTTTCTTTGTGAGTATTTATTACATGGTGTGCTGCGGAGGAAAGCCTATTCTAATGTTTTGAGCACCTGACGGCTCTTTTTTGCTTCTCATGTGTAGGTGGTAGAAGAGGTTTGTCGTGTTTGAGTCTGAGGTGGGGACCGGTTTTCTGCATAATTTGCATTGTACAGTTTTCTGGTCCGTGTCAGACTTTTCATAACCAAACCATGTCCATGCTACAGAGGCCCCTCGTTTAGGAATAAGGTCCTCGATTTGTTTTGACTGGTCCTTCTGTTTGTCATCATTTCAGTTTATTTTGAAAAATCTCAACAGGATCTTCAGCTTTATTGTGAAAGGTTAATGTGGAAAAATAAACAAGCAGACGGCGGAGCCACAAGCTGGGTTTACCATCATTGTTGCTAACGACAACGCATAAAAAAAGTTGCTTATTTATCCGTAGTGTGGTTATTTTAAATGTAAGAGAAAGAGGCAACGTGAAGAAATTAATATAACCACTACAGTAACCATCAAAACGATGAAAAAATATTGCCGTAAACAGTTTATTTTGTGACACCACGAAACAAACGATAGCGTAAAATGAAACGATAGACGTTTTCATTTCGTCACCCGCTACATATCGTTATATTGAACAGACCTAAAAGCATGCATGCATATACAAGCTGGACAACACCAAAACATATTCAACTCTATTGAAATAAAGTGATGAAGGATATATCTTACAGTGATTAGTGGACCGAAGTGGATGAATATGAGCAGAGTAAGTAAAACAGAATAAAGTCATAACATTTGCCAGGTTCTTTAATGCCCTTTAATAATTGTGGATCTCTTTGTTTTTACATTCATCAGGTGCCAATCAGCCCAAATAGCAAGAAGAAATTAAAAATACATGCCATGAAAGAGTTGGGGTCTTAGGAGGCTAGAAATGTAATTAACTTATAATTGTTAAATTGTTATACTGTTTATCTGATGGCTTTATCTGCCAACTTTATTTTCATATTCTTCCATCTGAAACAACAGGAAAGCAGTTAAAAAGATTTTTTTCTGTCTCTGATGATTGCTGCACCCAACCATGTAGCAGAATACAGGCATTGTGAGGAGCCAAAAAAGTAGTGACGCTTATCACGTCCAATATAGCGGACAGCTCGACATGCCCATGATGTCACGTGCAAACCCTTTATACACTGGTGGAAACCCTGGTACATGTGTTATTGAGACTGGGACGCGTGTCTATTCTGCACTCATCATATTTCTTTAAAAAGAAGAAAAGAAACTTGATAACTCTAACTAACTCTAAACATCATGTTAGAATTCTGGATTATCCATACTGTGAGAAAAATGTAGGAGTTTTGTACCAAAATGTAAACCAATGTTGAGATTTTTCTTTAGGGTAAGGACACAGCAGCAGGAAAAGGGGTCATGCAAAGGTCATGCGGGGGTAATGTGGGGGATGTTACAGGTCGTTAACATCCAGGACACCAAGCTCATCCCAAACCTGTGGCCAGTTTCGCGTCACGCGCAGCAAACCAGAAGCTAACATTCACGCAGACAATAACACATCAGCCAGCCTTTTTGAACAGCTCCAACAGCAACGAACAAGAGGTTGAAGAAAAGGAAAGAGAGGAAAATGAGAAAGAGAGAGACCACAAGAGAGGATTTGTGATACAGAGAGAGAGAGAGAGTGGAGCAGACGACCACTGAAGGAGATGTGACTTTTTTTTAAGAAAAGAAAAAAAAAGGCAGCCACAGCACAGGCAGATAGTTGGGAATTCAACTTACCTCTGACTGGCCCGAGTGTTTTGTTGCCTCCACGTCCGCTGCTGTTGTGCTGTGTATGAGTTCGGGGTGGGGGGCACCCGAAAGTAAAACTTGGGGAATTGTGCATCTTCGGCGAGGGTGTTTGGCTGCTGCTACTTTGGCTGTTGCAGCGGACGCGGCTGAGGGTGTTCTCCGATGCAGATCCAGACAGACAACTAGTAGGAAAATGAAGAAATCACAGAAATCCATTACCCAGCTGTTATCTTTGGACAAACTAAAGGCATCTAAGTTAAAAAAAAATGTGTGGGAACTCACTTGTTAAAGCTCTTTGGTGGTGACACCTTGCTGCCATTGTGGTGTATTCGTGGAGGAGGGTTGGCATGGATGTGAGCGTTCAGTCCTTTGGTGTTGCGGACGTGCTTGAGGATCCAGGCTCGGAGATTTGTCAGACAGGTGTGCTCAGAAAGCACCAGTCGCGGCCAAGGGTTACACTCTGCCATGTCCAGGGCAGAGATCGCCACAGCACGCCCCACCTGATGGCATCACCCAAATGTATTTCAGAACTGATATAGATAGGCGCACTTTGTTTACATAAATTGCCAAATTTCTTTAACGTGTCAGGGTAGGTGTACAGTACTGTCTTGAGCCACATCTCATTTCTTTATATTTTGTAGAAAAATGGGAAACAGGTGCAATGATTTATTAAAATGTGCAAAAATACATCCGGGTTCTGGGGAGGCCAGTCAATGACTGACAGTGTTCCACTGTGTTTTTATGTCCAGGTATATTTTTCCTACACTTTCCAGATGGTATTGATTTAGTTCATAGATTTCGGTTCTATTTGTTGGAGGAGGAGGGTCGATGCATACAAGTGCTTTATCGGTCATTAGCAACATAGTTTCTCTGTCTAAATATTTGATTTGCCAAATACTTTGTGACAACTAAGTAAGCGGTCTCCAACCTCCGGGCCACGGACCGGTACCGGTCCGTGAGTCGTTTGGTACCGGGCTGCGAGAGTTGAGGCTCGGGTGTGAAATGTATGGTTTTCAGGGTTTTTAGCATTATTTTGTTATCGTTTTTATGGTTAACTTGGATTTCCTGGGTCTTTTCACGTGTGTTATGAATAAATCGTCTTTTTTTCTGTACCGGTACTAGTTTTATTTTGTTGTATTTATCCGCGACACCTTAAAATGCCGTTCCGTGAAAATATTGTCGGGCATAAACCGGTCCGTGGCGCAAAAAAGGTTGGAGTCCGCTAAACTAAGTAATATAATCTGCTCTCTCCATTGTCTTGATGTGAATGTAACCCTCATTTTGCTCTATAGCTTCAGTGAGCTCATCACGTGTGTCTTAACCGGTTCCACACACAGTATGCTGCAGGCTGTGGTTAGTGTGCTTTCAAAATAAGAGCAAGTAGGCCTCGTCTTTGAGATGTTGCTCTCACTAATCAATAAAAAAATGAAAATAGAAAATTCTAATGTGAGGTGACAAGTATGCTTGAAGGGGATGGGAATACACACACATACCTCCCAAGTCTATGGGTGGGAAATAATTCAAAGAAAAGTGGAGCAAATGACTTTCTATGGAGAGTAACTTTATTAGTAATGGCCACAACACTTGTTATGATATGATATGATATGATGTGATATGATATGCATGTGTGTGTTATATATGCGCTTCCTACCTGCTCAAATATTTCTGGAGTGTATTTTGGAGGGAAGGATGGAGGTGGAGGGGGGGTAGCTCGTCCGTTGTCATGGCAGGCGGGTGGGATTGTATTCATGGTTTTTCCTGTGTTATAGTTGCACTCCAGAGTGTAACTGGTCGGTACCCAGTTGCAGAAGCAAGATAAAATATAAAATTACAACACAAAAGCATTACTGTGTTTCCGAGGCTTTTTGCAACTTAATTTGTACTGGGCCCACAAAATCTGCACTTGGTCATTATGGCTAATTCGAAACTGAGTAAAAATTCTGGAAATCACACTTTAAACACCTGAAAAACGACTACATAAACTTCCTACACCGAACACAGATTGCAGCAATGTCATAAATGTAATGTCTGACCTGTGAAGCAGCCCTATTGCCTTGTGAATGGCGACCCGACCGCTGCCTTCTTTAGATTGGCCATCTCTCTTGTCTCGTGCGTACATGTTTTTCTCAGAGAAGTTACAGCCCAGAAAATCAAAGTGGGCAGAATTCACAGCGATCAGCCTTGGATACAGCATGTTCTCGACCTGCGGCAAGAAAATCACAGCAATTCAGACACACGTGACAGAAAGTACAAATCAAATGTAGAAAATGTTTTTCTAAAAAAAATTTTTTTTAATGAAAGAAAAGTAAAAAATTAATTTGAATGTTATTTGACAATTTTGCAAAAGTACTGCAAAGTAATGGATAAATGCATTCATTATTACCTGCTGGCTCTCATCAGGAAGGCTATTTCCATACATGAAACACCCACGTTTAGACGCGTGCCCATGCAAGTCGACATAATATGCCACACCCCCCTCCTGTGGTGGCACCGACTCCTGTTCCTCCACCTGTGGTACTGCTAAATCTCCAGCTCCTGGAACTACAGTCTCTGTGGAGCTCGATGAGCTGTTCTGATCTCCCTTCTCCGCCTCCGAGGTAGCCCAGGCGTTTTCCTCCATCGTCACGGGGACCTCTGGCTGCGCAGGCTTTGCATCTTTCTCTGCGTTCCGTTGGTTTAAGGTGACTTCGAGGGCAGTGAGGGGAGGTGCTTCATGCTGATTTGCAGGTTTTGTTTTAGCAGCTGGGGGCTCTGTATGGGTGGGGCCGTTAGAACGAGTGCTTGGCTGTGTTTTGTGCAAGCGGTTGTGTGTGTGGTGGTAGAGCAACAGTGTTTTGGCTGCATAGATGGACGGGTGTAACTCGGGGCTGGGGTTCAAGTATTGTCTATTCAGGTTCACACCCCTGGAATCCGTCCTTTAAAAGAAAGAGAAAGTAAAGAATCTTTATTGTCGACAAGCGTAAACCCAGCAGAGAGTCTTTTGTACACTTCTCCTCTCCTCTGCCAAATTTAACATGTGAGCTATTTTATACATTATTGCATGGTGATGTTTAGATTAAGTAAAATTGTAGAGGAACACAAGTCTGGGAATCAAAAGAAGAGGCAGCATACCACTAACATGCCAAGAAAGCAGCGTCACCATTTACTGACACCTCAGTGCATCATTCTCTGAGACACAGGGACATCTGGTAAAAAGGTCACCACATCTCACCTCTGCTGGCTCTTCTCACCTCCTTATGACTAGTAGTAGTGATGAGCCTAAACTAAACTCAGCTGTGGTCGACTTTCCCTTCCAGTTTGATTTCCAGAATTTTATCATTTGTACCAAATGCAGTTTCCATAACCAGACTAGAGCCAGGGTTTCCATCACTGTATTTGAAATCGTCACATCTTGAAAGATATTACTTTTTTATTTATTTAACACAAGCAATTTATCGTCTGTACACAATAATTAAACATAAAATCATCAAAAAAAAAACCAACATAAAAACATCAAAACTGAAAAAAGTTAAATATAAAGAAGAACCAGGCTAAAACCAGATTATGACTTAATGATATTTTACCTATACAGCAGATTGTCTCTCTGTCTTCCTGTGTCCACTAGGTCTACCATGATTTGGTGCTCTCTCATTGGTGTAGTCTAAATTATTGCTGGGAATGTGAAAAAAAAACTCTCCAGTGTCTCTTATTCTCTCACCCCTGTGTCAGCATATGCATATCTTCACAGTGTTACAGCAGATAGCAGGTGGCCAGCTTTCCATTAACTGAGTGCAAATGCGCCTGCATTAAATTGCACGTAATTTCTGAGTAGGTCGTAGTCACTGGGCTTTTTTCCCCCTGAGTGATAACTGCATAGGGCTTAAAGAAACTTAATTTTTCCAGCTGGATTTCTTGATTTCTCCTAAAACGAGCAGGTTCATTGGCCACACACATGCATAAATTAGTTCTTATATAATTTAAAATGTATGCACATGTTAGCAAAGACATTCAGTTGATATTGACAATGAATGTTGTGAAGGCAAAGTAAGAAGATATGCACATAGTAATACAAAAACTAATGGTCATTGTACAAATTCAGACACATTTGCACTGTAGCATCAGGTGCCATATCCCCATTGGTTGCCTGGTCTTCAGACGAACTTTCTATTCAAATTAAAATTTCATTAGGAAGCCAAAAAACAAAGATTTTGAACACACAGAATGCTTATTTTTAATAGGATATATCCGTTGTATTTGCAGTATATATGGGTCTACAGTTGTAAGACTTCCTATGCAGAAACACAGAGCTAATCATCTTATACTAGCAACTGTTAACTGCTGTGTAGCCTTTTAAAAGGCTCAACATCAAACCAACTTGCTTTGTGACAATAATGACAGAACAAAATGTAGCACGACGATACATTGTAGCACATTTCCAGACTATAACTGTGGTGCACACTACTCACATTATTATTGAGAGGAAACGCTCTCGTGTCTCATTTAAGGATGTGGATGTATATGAATGTGAAACTCTTACCTGTAGTGTCCACGGACAACCCCGTCTGGGTTCAGCATGGGAATGAGCTTGAACACAAACATGTTGCGCAGCGCGTGTGCACGTGGGTCATCTCTTCTCAGGATGAAGTTGAGGAAACCGTTAAACACAAATGATGAGGGAGTCTCCCCAGGGTGCACGCGACTGCTGAGAAAAAACACCTGGGAACACACACAGACACGCAAATACCGAGAGTGAACGTTCC